CTCTCTCTCTCTCTCTCTCTCTCGCTCGCTCGCTTTCACCCTCCCCTCATGTTCCCTCCTCCCCCTCCTCTTTCCCCTCCCACTGCTGTCGCAGATCCATTTGCTCTCTCTCTCTCTCTCGCGCGCGCGCTGTTGGAGGGCGCGGTGTCCCGGCCCTCCTCTGTGTACCAAGTCCCTACTTGGTACCAACCTTTGCTTCGATGTTGTGGTCTGTAGTTGTGCGCGAACCACTACGACCGTTAGTACCTGGGTCATGCCTTGACGCGGACCGACCTGTTGGCGCCTGCCTCGGTAAAAAGGTGCGCCACAGGGCTTTCCATTGGTCCGCGCAGGCTCGGCACTCTGCTGTACAGCGGAGCACAATCGGCCTGTGGCCGTGGTAGCCGCCGGGCTCGTCCTGGGACGCGGAGGTGAAAGGACTAGCTCAGTCTTTTCAACTGCGCGCCAAGTGCCCCTCTAAATAGGTTATGGGTTAGGTGCATGGGACAGATGTCGCTGTCGGGCAGAGAAGGACTTAGAAGAGGGAAGTAAAAAGAGGAAGAAAATATGGAAAAGAAAATGAAAGTTAACCGTCAAGGCTATGTAAAGACACGAGTACTTATTTTAATTCGGGGGTGGCCAGCGGTTCAGTTTTCGAGCCGCGGTCGCTATCAGGTAACTGAGCCTGCTTGGAGTTGAAAGGACCGTCTGGTCCTAATGGTTGTGATCCAGGCCAGGTACAGGGACGGGATAGGGGTAACCCGTGTGGACGTTTCAACCGCACACTGGACTCTAGTAGCAGTGTGTGAGGGTAGATACAGTAGTGTCTGAAAATATTGAAAGTTGGGCTTTAGATTTGTGCGTGGACTCGTATCACTGTTCAGGCGGAGCTGCTGCGCGGAGAAAATTCTGAAGCGCCATCCTTCCTTTTCTGTAATTATTATTCTTATTCTTATTCTTATTCTTATTATTGTTATTATTGCTACTATTATTATTACAATCATTATTGATTTTTCCCAGTTTTCCGTTGGTCTATCACTTCGCGGGAAGGCCAACGGTTCGAGTTTGAAGCGCGGCCACAGTCTGTGGCTCAGACTGATTTGTCCTGTTTTTCTTGTGCCGGTGGTTTGGGAGGCTCGGCCAGGCGACGCTCGGTAGGACCCCAAAAGAGGGGCGACCCGCGGCCGCATCGGTAGGAAGCCTATCACCCCTGAAGAGGGTCATAAGCCCCCTCCTTACCATCGGACGCGGGCACCCGATAGGGGTAGATCGGCGGTCTGTTTTTGAAGTGAAAGGGGGCGCCGTCGGTATTTCGTTATGGGACCACAGTGTCTAGCCTGCGGTAATGAGCCTTAACCGTTGGCGTCTCACATTCCATTTTCCCCTCCTCGTGTAGTTTGCTTTAAATTATTAATTAAGGTTATAGAATATTAGAGTGCAGAAGTCTGAAGAGAAATACTTGAGGCCCTCGTTTAGAACACGGGGGGTCATGATATGGAGAAAGCCCATAAAAGAGAAAATAGGCTGGCTATCCAGTCACTAGTCTGTGGGTGCTCGCGGAATATTCCGCTGCGCTAGCGCCACGGGTCTGAGGCAAAAGGGGTGGAGAGTCGGGGCCAGTAAGGGCTATCTGTGTGCAAGCGTCTGGAACTAAGTCCTTGGCTATTCTGAGTGGCTATGGCGGACCGAAATGGCCTGCGCGGTTATAGGCCAAGGTATATGAAGTATTCCTGGATGTGGGAGAGAGAAGATGAGAAGGGTACTGTAGTAGAGACTACACTGACCTACGCTAAGCCTGACGGGGAGGTGAGGCTAAAAGTTAACGTGTGTGGTGGTAAAGAGCAGGAAATGAGGAGGGATGATGGACTGCAGGCCGCTGTTACCGAGGCACGCAACAGGGCCGAGCGGATGTGCAGGCGTGACGGGGTGACTGCAGGGATGAGGGTGAACGACACTTACCATGAGGATGATTCCTCAACTGGGACTACTGACAGGGAGGTACAGCATGGGGAGCGGGACTCTGAAGGGGAGTCCGAGATGAGTGACAGGGAGGCGGATGTCCAGTCCTGGCATGGACTGGACCAGATCCGCCGAAACCACCCGTTGGCAGGCCCAGTAGAGCGCGGGCCCGAAGTGAACTTACGGCAGCGAGGGGACCAAGGCTGAGACAGACAGCGGGGTCGAGGGAGGTGATTGAGAGGTCAACACGTGTGAGAGGGAGAGAGGCTGTTGACATCAACTACTGTCGCGGCGTTCTCAAGCGACGCTTTTCTCTTGCGGAGTCCGTCGAGAGCGACATGGAAACTCGACGCGAGACGGTGGAAGAACTACGCCGCTGAGGGTCGCACGAGAGAGTATGAGAGGAGGGTCTCAGAGACCAACGAAAAATGACGAAGACATGAACTCTCACGTTCTCGGATGACGTCACCTGGACTGCTCCGCCGTGGCAGTAGCGAATGCTACGGGAACTACACCTGGCTTGTCCGTGTCAAGAAGTGACACGCTAAGACTGAACTCGGGAGATGCACTCACGCACTGTGGAAATGAAGCGCTTGCGTGCTTCTAGGGATGCCATGCGTAAACACTGGGGATACTGAGGCAGTGTTGGCGTCTGCATTATCTAAGCATGGGCGGCAATGTAACCGCTCAAGTGAGGCTGTATAAGTGGGTTTGGGGACCGTGACATTGTGTCACTCTCCCTCGTCGAGGTGGAGGTAATGACAGGCGAAAGTGAGGAGTACGCATGCCCCAGAGATGAGGGTTATTTCTCTCCGAGAAAGCATGTAACTGCTGCGGTGAGAGGTCCGACGATCAGAGTTTGGTTCTCATATTGTTTCCTGTAGGAGCGACACGGCGGTCGCCGCTTCCTCATCAGAAGAAGAGTGTGTAACCATCAAAAGAGAGTGAACAAGTTCGGATCAAGAAAGAGGTTGACACGGTGCATGAGTGGCGCGAGAGAAAGTGGGAGGTGCGACCACGGCGTGCCACTCAAGTAAGGATGTGGAGAGATGTGCATAACCTCTGGTCTCCGATGGCAATTGATCCCTTCCAGACAACTAATGTCAGCTGCTGATGAGTTCGAGCGGAGATTGAAGCGCTTTCACCATTGCTTGTATTCTGGTAAGCTTGGTAGTCTGCGTCAGTTGGCCATCACCATTGGACATGCAACTTCCTGTTTCCGCTGAGGCTACACGTAAGTGGAGCTATACGTTGATCGTTCTTTTCATTAACAGCACGGTAAACCCACGGTCTTTTATACTAGGTACTGCCATTACTGCTTCTCCCTCCGTTTATGTCAGCCTTCGTAGCTGTCTATTGAGAAGGCACCTGTGTGTAAACCGAAGTGAAGATGGCTGGGTGAGATGAGTTGAGTCTTTGGACGTTGCCAGTACTATGGACGGTTACCGTAAAGTGCATACTATAGTAGCTAGATGCTATCAGCATTAGCCCGTGGGCAAGCGGTGTGTCAGTCTCTGCTCTTAGTTTTCAAAGGACTGAGCTGTCATCGAGCCGCCCATCTCATGATATTTTGTTCTTCTTTTGAGAAGCGGTTATGGGCGAGGAACTGAGTGTGGTCCACATACGTCGTGCCGGGACGAAGGGGCACTGGACGTAGATGGGGAAGGGGGGGGAACAGGCTCACTAGAACAGTGACCGACGGATAATGGGCGAGAGGCAGATATGAATGTGATCACTTGATACGAAGTTTCTTTTCTCCCCAAGCCCTTCTTCTCGTCAGGGCGGTAGTTTAATGGGAAAAAGGGGGGATGTTAAGAGGAAAATTACGTACCTTCTGATTAAGTTTTTGCTCGACGGAGATTGATAGTCCATAAGACATGGTCTAAATAAATCAAAATGGACACATTGAGGTATTCTGGAAGCTAAGCTTCTTTCCAACCCCCTTTTCCGTGGGTCATCATCAATACCCCTGTGATGTAATCGGGGAAGTGACAAAATCTGGGCTTGGTAATTGAATAAGCTTTTCCTTGAAAAAGCCACTTTGACTTATTGGAGGATGAGGTGGGGCAATAGTGAAAGAAACGCTAATTCGGGGTATTGAACAGGCCCTATGACGAGGGTCGTTGTAAATGACTCGTTGAGCCAATGCCTGACAGTGGTAGGTCACGCCAAACAGCATCCACTACCACCTTTAGTGGTTGTTGTTTCTTGTGCGGCGCTGTGTAGCCTTTTTCTAGACAGGGATGTGAACCACGCATTTTAATTATGTGAAGTGATTTTCTACTTGCAGCTTGAAAAACGCTATTGGGGAGGAATGTACTATAATTGGGTCCTCTAAGTCCCTGTTTGAAAAGAAGCTGTGAGATGTTGCCTTTGTCCGGGAAAGGTTCAGTTCGATGTATGATGTTATGGTAAATGATCAGTTAAGAGGATCCTGCCGCCTCACTCAAAGAGAGAAACAAGTCTTCACAATCTTGTAGTTAGAGGTTTATGGTGATGTCTGTGAAAAGGCAGTACAAACCGACAGTCGGGCAGAACAGATTCTGGTAGCCCCGCATCTGCTCAGCTCCCTATAAGCTTATGTTAAATAGATGAAACCAAGGCATACCCTTCATGTCAAGGGATGAGTATCTGACGGGACAGTTTTATTGTCCCGGATACTATTCCCAAGGTCACACACAACGTGCAGGTGGCCTTTAATATGAAACTGTATTGAACTTGTCACTGATAACCCTGAGCACTACCCTGAACCCTATATTATTAGTTATACCCTGCATGAGTGCTTGGACTAGGCATGCAGCCTGCGGCAGACGGCTCGGAAAATAACCCTAGAGTTCAGGATGAAAATTGGGCTTGTGCTCGAACCGCAGAGTTAAGAGAAAGATGCGGTCAGGAGAATGTAGTGTTGCAGAAGATGTTATCTGAGCCTGAAGACGTTACCTGAGCTTTGCCCATAAAACCAGAACGGAAGGACCTATTAGCCCCAAACAAAAGGGGACGTCTCGTAATACGCATTATTAACAGTTAGACGGGAAAAAGGGCGAGATAGATGCATTCCCCGTTTCCTTAATCTCGCTCCGGAAAGGAAAGATAAGGGTAGTAGGAGAGACATGGAAAGCAAGGACATTCTGGTTGTGACCTGCACCCTATGCCAAGCAAAAACGGAAGGTTGGGAAAATAGGACAGTTGGTGAGACTGAGAAACACAAGAGATTTCTGAGGGAGTTTGCCATGGAGAAAGCAGAAAATGCTATAAGCTCATTGAGTACGGTTTCTATATCTGTGAGCCAAGTGGAAAGCTGCACAGTACCGTTTAATCGCTGGAAAGTTTGGAGCAAACCAGGGCTAAGAGAGCATGAAAGTGCACAAATCGCTTTCTTAGAGGACTCCACCAGTGAATCTGATCGGTAAGCATTACACAGAGTCTAATATTCAACGCTGTTAACAGTGGAGGGTGCTGAGTACTGTTACTAATGAGCAGGGCTCAACACTGAGGGTAGCAATCAAACAACATCCAATCAGCAGTTATCTCAACACTCAACATTACAACAGTTAATTAGTTTCCTTATCAGTACTCAACCAGTGTCTAAAGTGGACTCAGACGATTGGAAACTGGACTCAAACGATTGGAAACTGGACTCGGACGATTGGAAACTGGACTCGGGCAATTGGAAACTGGACTCGGACAATTGGAAACTGGACTCGGACAATTTGAAAACTAGACTCAGACAACCAGAAAACGAACTCAGCGACGTACGACTCTGGTACTCAGAGTTGTCAGTGTTGATCAGCACTCGACGGTGCTTTCGGCGTGCAGTGCACAGTGGCGTTGGTAGTGACCGAGCAGCATACAGTTAGATTTTCAGACAAACCTTCAGACAAAGCTTCAGAAAATTTTCAGACAAACTTTCAGACAAAACTTCGGATAATTTTCGGACAGCTTTCAGGTAACCTTCAGATGACCTCCGGACAGCGTTTAGATGGCAACTAAGGGTTTGTTCGTCTAGTGACAATTGTCGTCTATTCGGCAAGCAACAATCAACTCAAAACAGCAGCAGTCAATCAGCAACTAACCAGTAGTCAAGCAACAATCAATCAGCAAACAGTCAGCTTTAGTCGGCACGCAGATCAGCATCTTGATCAGCATTCAAAAAGTTATTCAGATCAACATTCAGAAACAGCATTCAGAGCAACACTCAGAACGGCATCCAGACAAGCATTCAGGAGTCCGTCAATCCATTAGTAGTTGACGTCTATTCAGTGGACGCCGTCGACTCGGCCGCGGCGGACGGTCGTCAATCAAGCAGTCCTTTCTTTCTGTTTGGGAGTAACTATTTATCCAAACATATGAGAGAGATCAATCCCATCACAGTTGACCAGTCGGTCCTTGACAGCCTCAACCTGATTGCTGCCAAAGAGAGTTTCCCCTACAAGTATGTCAAGATTGATGGATTCAAGCGTGAAGATTTGTATATGTTCGTCGTTCTCACAGAGTTCGCCGAGGGTACAGTCAACGATCTGCGGATCTTCCTGAAAAAGGGGAACGAGACACACCCTCATTTTGATGCAGTGTGGGACGCAGCAGCCAGGTTTGTGCAATGGAAAGCTGAGAGACTCCAGGGTAATACAAAGCTAGTCTATAGCTTTGGTCCTAAGCTTTTCACAGACCCAAACCTCTTGTCCCCTACTATCTTACTGATGGCTCTTATTGGGGTGGACTGGTGGACCTAGCAAAGAGGTACATATCACTAGCAGTGATCGACTACGAGGCAGTGACTGAGCCTTCCGAGTTTCCACATCTCAGGAGGGGCATTTTCTCTCAGCCCTATCTCCCCACTCTATGGGAGGAGTTTTGTGCCATGCTTGACTTCCGTATCATGGGACTTGGCTGAAAATGTGTGGAACTAGTAGGCTTCAGGTGGCTTTACATTCAGAAGCCACAACCTCAGAGAGTGCGGAGACATGGCAAGAAGCCCAAACAACAGACAGCAAAATGAGAGATTGAGTGTGAAGTTCAGAGGGATGAGTGAGGACTCGTGATAGGTGCTGGCCATGCTCTCTCCCATTTGTACTCCCTTAGATTATTACGAGTTTTCATTCTTCCCTCATTCACTTGATCTTGTCATTGTTCGAGTCAGTCGGTCTTGCTTCTTGCATTGTTCTTGCTTGATGATTGCTCATGTGGATCATTCTGTCACAGTTCTCAAAATCAGATTGACGTAATTGATGCATGCTTAGCACTCCACAATTTTTATGATTATTATTATTTGCATGATTCTCTGCTGTTTTGAATCAAAATAAAAGATTCCTAAGACCGGGGACCGGCGAAGACTGCAATTGAAGGGTCTCGCTCTAAGTCGGACGCACACAACAGGAAGGGATTTGCTTTATTTAATTTATTTTATTTATTGCAATCACATACAAAATCCAACGTGACAGCCTGTTGGCTTTCCGGTCGCCCGGAGTGGCTCGGCTGGAAAAAGTGCGACAGCGCGCAGCGGGAGCGCACACAGGCGCACACACCCCGTCATTGAGACCAAAAGCCAAATTCAGCCGCAAAGGTCGTTAGGGAAAGAATGGAAAAAGAAAGCGACAGACATTTCC